TTAACGTACTAGTAACTAGTAACTACGTACGTAGTAACGTATAACGTAAGTAAGTAAGTAATAGGTAGTAAGTAAGAGAAGAGAGAGANAGATAGAGAGTAGAGAGAGAGAGAGTTGATACCCCGATGAATCACCCCCTCTTGTAGAACTTAGTAAAGCTAAGACATCTGTGGTCACAATGTCCCAAAACTGGTTAAACAGGCTGACCCAATGCATGTCTGGGCCCAGGTCAGCACTGCCTTCGGTATTCCCACTTCTTTGAAAGGTTTTCCAACCATAAACCCCTCTAGTTTGGGATGAATTTAGGTTTTCCATCCTAGGCCTTGATTGGTTCCGTCTTGAGGAGAAGTTTTCTAAATACTGGGTAATAACAGACTTTACTTCTACTGGCTTATTGTAGATGCGATCCCCTAGACTTACGTGGACTATGGATTGGCTTCTCTTCTACAGTTGGCAATCTTGTGGAACAATATAGTACTTGGTCTCCATCTTTGTGCCTTTTAATTTTGGATCTTTAATACCGGATTATTTCTTCTTGTCTGAGGCCATTTGATACTCCACCTTAGCCTTAGATCTATCCGTTTCAGCGATTTGTGACTCCTCCAGGAGATCCGGTTTGCTATCTTCTGGAGGAGGGATTCCTTCCTACTCTGGAATTCACCGAATTTTTTTCCTATTCCAGTCTTTCAGTTTGGTTTTGAGGAACTGCAGCTTTTGGCAAACTCTGAAACCTATCTAACCTCCGACTGTGTAAGACAACCACAATTGTGCGAGTAAGTTTCTGGACTTTCTTTGTTATCGCTTTCAATTCCAAAAGGTCTCCTACCACATTGAATGGCGCTGATTGTATCAGTATCTCACCGGATGGGAGTGGGTCAGATGTCAGCTTCAGCGGGGCTTCAAAATGAGCACCAGGGAGTAATCCTTCCGACTCCTTGGAAATCCGGAATTGGTCGAGCTTGGACAAGGTGGGGCTCTCAGCATGGTTTCACCATGAAAATGAGGCACCATTAAGAAGTAAATCCATAAGATTGCTCCTGAAACAGACTCTGAGAAGGCTGATGTGCTTCCATTTACCCATAACTTTGGTGATTCAAATTGAACAAAAATCTAAAATGTCAATAAGGGGATGGGTTGCGCTTCACCTATCCTATTGCTGTTGTTTGGAATGGTTTTATCAGAAAAATATTTTTTGCTCAAAGATAGTAGGCCTGCTCTTGGATGATTTTCTGACATGCAGTAGTAGTTGTCATGAAGAAATAATAATATAACATGCAAGACTCCTTATCTTAACTTTGAACTATTATAATTTAATGAATATTATTGTGCTGATTTTAATAATGTTCCTTCACTTGGATCTTGATACTTAGGATGATGAAGGTGATAATGCTTTCCATATAGCAGCCGATATGGCAAAGATGATAAGAGAAAATCTGGAATGGATAGTTGTCATGCTGCAACAGTCAGATGCAGCTGTTGATGTTCGAAACCACAGGCAAGTCCTTTCGTGGTAGTAGCTTCCTGATTGGCGGTGTATTCTATGGCATAAGTCACAGAAAAGTATAGTCCAGTGGATTACCAAAACCGTACTCAATTGACATTTTCACTGTCCAATGGAATGATTGATGATGTTGTGAGAGTGGGACCCATCAGACTAGGAAATGATCTCAATGGTGGGCCCCTCTCTCGCTGTCATCCTGCATGGTGACCCATATCGACTTTGGCTTTTCATAGTCCATTGGATTATATTATACTGTTCCTTTAGTCATTTTATTGCTTGTCATTAAAATTTGTCGATGATCAATTGATCATAAAGGGCAAAGAAATCTTCCACTAAAATTTTTTGATTCTTGGGTTGGGTTTTTGGGACTAATTTATCTTCCTTCTATATGTGCAGTGGTAAAACTCTTCGGGACTATTTGGAGGCTCTTCCTCGAGAATGGATATCTGAAGATCTTATGGATGCACTTACAAATAAGGGAATTCAGTTATCCCCAACTATGTAAGTAGAGAGGGGGAAGTATACTATAATCCAACTGGTTATGGATAAACCATAGCCCACATAGGATTGTGGTAATGGAAAAGAGTGTGACTGGCCATTGGGGTCATTCTTATTTTGGTGGGTCCCACTCTTCATCGCCCTCCATCATTTTAATGTAGGGTGATGACCCTTTGGATCTTGGTTTTTGACATAGTCTAGTGGATTATAGTATACTTTCCCATTTGTAGAATTGAGATGTTCCTTCATTGATGCTTGTCTATTGGAGTCTTGAGTCTAGGTATTATGTTTTCCTTTTCTTTATATGTGTGTACTATTTTGAATTTGACCTTGATTTGGGTGGTGCTTAGATTTGATGTAGGAGATTGGGTGAAGTTTAAAAGAAGTGTGAAGACCCCAGCCTTTGGATGGCAAGGTGCAAAGCATAACAGTGTGGGTTTTGTCCAGCGTGTACCAGATAAAGACGCACTAGTTGTATCATTTTGCTCTGGAGAGGCTCGTGTTTTGGCAAATGAGGTTATTAAGGTGATTCCTCTTGACAGGGGACAGTATGTGCAACTGAAAGCAGATGTGAAAGAGCCCAGGTAATTCATTTGATCCTCTACTGTACTAATACTTACATAGCTTCCTTTTTTTTCCCTTAAGGCAAATCTACTGATGATTTGTCTGTGTTTGTGATTTTGGCTTGGAAGCCTTTGTCATTGATTGTTGATTTTGTTGAGAAAATTACTTCTCACATATGAGTCATCAGAATTTAAGGGTGTATTCCAACACTGACATATGCTTACCGTGATTGATGCACTCTCTAAGGTTGTTAGACACTGAAACGATGCATGCTGTGTCCAATATATGTACATATGTATTGATAAAAAAATGTTTGCCTGTTTGGGGCATTTTTGCAGCTGCGTATATATGCTCCCAGATCATTTAGTCCAGCTACGACACATTTGTTTCATTATACTTATGCTGCAATCTAAATTTGATTTGATTTATTTATCTAAGACTAAATATGGAAAGCCCACTATTTCGTTTCTTTTTCTCTTTACTAGTAATACTAAACATGACTGTCGGATGATCTTTTTATTTTATTTTGTTTCTATGTTATTAGGATCCAGTACCCCTTCTCTCCTTTTGATAGCCTTTAAGTTTTCAAGCAGTTACGCTCTTACCTATTATTTCCAAAGATAGCGAAACGCTCCTAATTATGTTAGTGAGAACCTATCAAAGTCAAATATCAAAGAACGACCAATATATCCTTCATGACTTGTTTGATAGTCATCCAGTGTTCCAATACTTAAAAGTGGGATTCCTTTATTATTCAACTTAGTTAACTCACTTGAGATTGACATTTATCTCAAGCTCTTTACCTATTATTGTTTTTTTGTTGTGTGTCTGGGTTTTATACGAACTCGTCAATATATTTCTACTTCTTTTCCCTCTACATATTTAGCTTTATCTGTTAAATTGACAAAGAGTCTGGCCTTCCAATTTGGTAATCAGATTTGGGTGGCGAGGTCAATCTCGTGATAGCATTGGAACCGTTCTCTGTGTCGATGATGATGGGATCCTTCGGGTAGGATTTCCTGGAGCTTCTCGAGGATGGAAGGCTGACCCTGCAGAGATGGAAAGAGTTGAGGAATTCAAGGTGGGAGATTGGGTCCGAATTCGGCCCTCTCTAACAAGTGCAAAACATGGGTTGGGACCTGTAACCCCTGGTAGCATTGGTATCGTTTATTACATAAGACCTGATAATAGCTTGTTGCTTGAACTGAGCTACCTACCAAATCCATGGCAATGCGAGCCAGAGGAAGTTGAGCCTGTTGAACCATTCAGGGTAAATGATGGCATCATTCATTATCTGTCTGAACTTTTTTGTATTGGGATTACACTACAATTTATGTTACAATCCTATGTAATATGATAAACCATAGTCAATTGTGGTCATCACCATTCAATGTTAAAGAGTGAGGCCCACCTGGGGTCATGTCCAGTGTGGGTCCCTCTCTGTCCATGACCATCGTCATTTCATTGGATGATAATGAACCTGTTGTGCTATGATTTCTCGCAGGCCATTTGATTCTATTATACGCATTGCTTTTATTCTTTGCTTGTAATTACTGTTCTTGGATTATTGTTGTTTTTAGTACTTTGATTTGCATTGCCATTTTCAGTACTTTAATTTGTATTCTTATGAATATTTTTTGTGTAATTATTTCTTTTGTTGTACACTTAATTGTTTATAGACATAGTTGTCTCAAAAAAAAAAAATCATATTTTTACCTAGTTCACATTCACTTCATTGAATATCATGTGTTAACACCTGGATGATGCATTTGCCATTTCAGATAGGCGACCAAGTCTGTGTGAAAAGGTCCATTGCAGAGCCACGATATGCATGGGGTGGAGAAACCCATCACAGTGTAGGAAGGATAAGTGAGATAGGGAGCGATGGTTTGCTCATAATTGATATTCCAGGGCGACCTATTCCATGGCAAGCTGATCCTTCAGACATGGAGAAGGTGGAGGACTTCAAGGTTGTGGTGATCAAAATAACATACACACACACACACAAATACACACACAAATATAGTGGAATAATTAGTGAAAATATGTATAAAGTGGAAAACTGTAGTCCATTGGGGTCATCGCCATCCATGTTGATGTAGACAGCGGAACTCACCTGAGTGGGGCAAGATCCCAATGGTGAATACCACTTTCCATTGCCATAAATGACATTGGACAGTGATAACTCCAATGGACTAAGGTTGGTGGGTATCCTCTTTCTATCATCGTCCAGGTGTCCGTCATTTCATTGGTTGGTGTCGGCAATTCGTCCAATGGTATATGCATTACCTTGTTTCATTGCATTATAATCCAAGTTTCCAAATCATTGATTTCATTTTTGTTTTGTCTATTGTCATGATCATTGTCATAATTACTGCTATGGGTTTTCTGCGATGAGAACACTTCTTTTATTGGTTCTTGTGGGGGTAATTGTACATGTCACAATGAGCAGGTTGGAGATTGGGTGAGAGTGAAAACTTCAGTACCATCTCCAAAGTATGGGTGGGAAGATGTTACCAGAAACAGTATTGGAATAGTCCATAGCATAGACGAGGATGGGGAAATGGGTGTGGGTTTTTGCTTTCGGAGCAAACCTTTCTCTTGCTCAGTCACAGACATGGAGAAGGTCCCGCCCTTTGAAGTCGGGCAAGAGATTCACATTGCGCCTTCTATCACACAGCCCCGACTTGGATGGTCTTCCGAGACCCCGGCCACGACTGGGAAAATTGCAAGGATTGACAAGGATGGAACCCTAAATGTGAGTTTCACATTCTTCCACATGTACATAAGGGTATTCACTTTGGTTAAAGGTTTTATTGTTAATAAAATCATTTTTAGAAAAGTATCGTGTATTGCAAAGCACTGTCGAAAACCATACCCAATTGAGTAATCGTCATCCCATGAAATATTTGGGTGATGATGATGGTGTCCTGCGCTCACCATCAACTCCAATTTAATCCATTAGACAGCAATGATCCCCAACTGTGGTTTCTTTAGTCATTAGACTGCAGTATACTGTTTCCCTCCCAACTTTCATATTTACATCCTTTATTGGGACTCCAGGTTAAGTAACCAAAGTTGGTAATTCTTACTTATTTATATATAGGTTCGGGTTCTCGGAAGGGCCAGCTTTTGGAAAGTTGCGCCAGGGGACGCTGAGCGACTATCTGGGTTTGAAGTGGGTGACTGGGTCCGGCTAAAGCAGAGCCTTGGCACCCGGCCCAGCTACGACTGGCATGGTATTGGCAAGGACAGCTATGCGGTGGTGCACAGTGTCGGGGACACAGCCTACCTCGAGCTCGCCTCCTGCTTCAGGAAGGGCCGGTGGGGTGTCCACTACAATGATGTTGAGAAAACATCCTGCTTCAAAGTAGGACACCACGTCCGGTTTCGACCTGGCCTCTCTGAGCCCCGATGGGGGTGGCGTGGCGTGGGTCCTGAGTCCAAGGGTGTTGTGGTGGCTGTGCATGCAGATGGCGAAGTGCGCGTGGCCTTTCCTGAGCTTTCTGGGCCTTGGAAGGGTGACCCCTCTGACTTCGAGAAAGAAGAGATTTTCGAAGTTGGAGAATGGGTTCGGATTCGAGATGATGCCACAGAACCAAGGAATGGATGGAGATCTTTGAGGCCTGGAAGTGTTGGGATAGTGCAAGGCTATGGAGAAGCCATGGCGAATAACGGGGAGGTTGAAAAGACAGTGTTGGTGGGGTTTTGTGGGGAACAAGAGAGATGGGAGAGCTCTCAGAGTGAGCTCGAGAGAGTGGAGCCTATTACAATTGGACAAAAAGTAAGGGTCAAGGGGTGGGTGCGGCAGCCGAGATTTGGATGGTCGGGAAATAGTCATGCAAGTGTGGGCACAGTGGTAGGGGTTGATGCTGATGGTAGACTTAGGGCATATACTGGAGCTGGGGGGAAACAATGGGCTTTGGACCCAGCAGAGGTGGAGACAGTGGAAGAAGAGGTCTTGCGTGTGGGTGATTGGATTAGGGTTCGGGACTCGGTAGAGACCCCTGTGCACCAATGGGGTTCAGTGACACGCTCGAGCATCGGTGTTGTATATAAAATGGGGGAGGGAGAAAATGGGGGTGAGCTAAGAGTAGCATTTTGTTTTGTGGAGAGGTTGTGGGTTTGTCGGGCTGAGGAGGTGGAGAGAGTGAGGGCTTTTAGGGTTGGGGATAAAGTTAGAATAAGGAGTGAGGTTGTAGCGCCAAGGTGGGGTTGGGGTATGGAGACGTATGCGAGTAGAGGAGAGGTTATGGGGGTGGATGCTAATGGGAAGCTGAGGATTAGGTTTAAATGGAGGGAAGGGAGGCTTTGGGTCGGAGACCCTGCTGATATTGAGCTTGATACGGATTTGCCTACCACCTAGTGAATGGAGAGAGACTTATTTATTGTTCGTGTTCATGAGATGGAGGGCTCGAGTCCACAGTTTCTCATTCGCCCTACTTCATTTGTGACCTCTCTCTCTCTCTCTCTCTACATGCTATATGAAGAGGGGCCAAGAAGGGGATCACAGTTGAATGTGGCAGGGTTCTTGTACCAATAGATGTATCATTTGAAATTCTGCCCTGGTGGGATTGGTGAATTATTTGTTGTGTATAATAGTCTCTCCCTCTCTCAGCAGGCGTTTGTAAAAATTAAAGGGACCTATAGAGTCCCTAGACAATGATATTGAAAGTTTTGATCATCTGTTCACTGCCTGTGTAATAAAAGACACTAGTCTACGCACCGACTTGTAGTTGCCCCAGTAGCTCTTGTACCATTTACATGGGATACATGATCCAGGCATGCTCATCAAAAACCAAATTGTGTACCATTCATTTGACCACCTGCTGATTGCTATGAACCCCTTTAACCTGGTTTTGGTTTTGCTTTTGCTTGGGCTGGTTCGGTTGGCAAGAGGGAATCCAAAGTGGATACGAATCGTGATCAACAGTTAATTTCATTGAATTTTTGTTTAATTTGAGGGTCTCTAGAAAATAGAAATGGTGAATTAGAAATAATAGAAATCAACCAAGAGTCTCGTGGGGGAGTGCCAAGTTAGATAACAAAACCTATTGAACAAAGTAAGATGATATTCCTAATTCAGGGTTCAAGGCATCAGTTGAATGGGCCGGTTGGAAAGCAACGGCCCGATTTTTCGCCTCCATTCCTTAATGAGTGACAACACGGTGCAGGTTAGCTTTATTATTCATTGGTGAGCCCGTTTGGTAATCCACTTTTTTTTTTTGAAAAAGTTTGTATAGAAGCTTAATTCATTATATTATTTCATAGTAGATCTTCTTTTTATTTTTCTTTTAAGCGGCGTAAAGAAATCTTTAAATATTTCACCTGTCTCTCTTCTTCTCTTATTTCTTTCTTTTATCGATTTTTGGCTATAAAAATTAGTCCCAATAAATCTGTTTATATCATTTCAACCGAAAAATGTTTTTAATGGGTGGAAAGGGAAAAAAATGTTAAAAAAGTTTTTGGGTTGATATAGTAAAAAATTTTTAATTAGGGCTAATTTTTATGGTCAAAAGTCATTAAAAAGGGTGATAAAAGATGAGGGTGACAAAAGTCAAAAGGTTTTTATAGTGAAATCTTTTCTTTCTTTAGCGTTTTTTTATGCCGCTTGAAAGAAAAACGGAAGGAGGGTCTACCATGAACTAATATGAGGAAGTAGGGTTATATACGAAAATTTTCCTATTTTTTTTTTGGTAATTCAATGTGAAAGACATGCTCCTACCAGTTTTTTCAAGTAGATTAGGAGTTATTTTTTTGAAGATATTAGTGGGGTGATGTTAGTGGTGAGAATGGAAACCACACTGTAGTGACTAGGGTATGAGGTGCTCCCACTACGACTTTAGCCCCTTCCCAATCTAATAATCCACTTGCTAACCAAACAGTGCAAGGAGACACTCAAATTTCAAATTTTAAAGGACACTGAACCAGTCAATTATATGTTAAAGCCTAATTATTTTAAAAGAAAAGTATACAAAGATACCATATACTTTTAGTGTGAGGTGACAATTAATCTTATCTGTCAGATTTAAAAATAGGTGATTGTGAGCGTGTCATTGATTGGACTCAAAATCTAAAAAAAAAAATTCTCAAATTTCCCGATACACCTAAACAATCCAAATTGACCTAATAGGTTGGAGTGATTGGCAACCTTGCAAGGTCCCATAGCATATAATGCCTTATCTTAATCATAGTAGATTAATACACGAGTTCAATTTTAACACATGGTTGGACCTCTCAGTGTGTGAAATGTCAAAAAAAATGAAGGATTGGGCCGCGTTTGTATAAAATTAAAAATATCAAAAAAGCCCTAAATGGGTTTTAGGGACTCTAGGGGTATGTTTGGGTATATGGATTTTAAAGCATAGATTCTTAATATCTTGGATATTATCAAAATTCAATGTTTAGATTGTTTAAAGACTAAGATACTTAAAATTAAGAAAATCAAAATCATAGAAATAAGACCTACTTTTCTATGATTTCATTTCCACAACAAAACCTGTTTTTTTGCATTTCCAAGGCTCATAGATTTCACTCATCCGCTCCCTCGACCCAAAACATAAGGTGCATTTGGTAGGTATTGAAATTTTAGAGAGAGTACCTAAATTTTTCAAAGAGAGAAACTATCTCAAAAATTTTAGAGAAAAAAACTATCTCAAATTTTAACTTTTAGAGAGAGAAAGTATGTTAAAATTTAGAGAGTACCAAAATTTGAGCTGCATCTTAATTTTGATTGTTTAAGGTTGTGACCTTACGCAAACTACACCCAAGGAGAAATGCATATTTTTACTTAACCAATGTACTCGGTTTAAATATTTATATATAGGAAAGTATAGAATAATCGTTTACCTTTTATACAAAATGATCACATTAATCTTGACCATTGGATGTGAAATTAAGTGGTTGCAATTATTCTATTGACCAAGCTCAAACTTCAAAAGAAATTTTTTTCAACTTTGTGACACATCAAAGCTCCCAAATTTCGCATCAAATAGTTGTAAAGAATTGTGAACATCTTATATTAAAGGTACAGTCGCATTGTATACAATCCCTTTATATATATATACATATGGTAACAGTCTACTACATATTTCTATTAATAAAGGTGCAAGGAATTTCTACTTTTGTTTAAGTGATATTTCCCCTTAAAATATATCGGGGCCTACGTCCAAGACATGTTTTTGGCTTTTTAAACCTTGGCTTGACAAGCAACTGTACTTCGTCTCACGAAAAAAGAGCTCTCCTCTCCCTCTAATCAATAATTATTTGAATGATGTCTCTCCTTTTCTGGCAAGCAAAAGACTCGAGGTAACAACAATTAGTGCTTTCCAGGTGAGCTGCGTGCAGTTTTATATTTGAAAAAAAATTATATAAAGTTGCAATCTTGCAGCAATCTACAATAATTTCATTTGGATGGTGTAGTAAAGACATAACCCACATTTTAATATTATCTTTAAAGATATGTCAAATATTTACCGTCCAATTAAAATAGATGTAAACAATCACGGCCTTCGTTCTATGAGTAAAGGTGACAACTTATATAAACCGCACCTTTTAAATTTTTCCACTCAAAGATGCAAAAATGCGAAACAAGTGTTGCAACCAGCACATTTGGTCTATTCTAGACGCCAACACACAGACCATTTAGCCAAGACCACAAGTTCCATGAAAGAAGACTAAACCTGTGTTTTCATTCAAATACAGACAGCTTCTCCATCGAAAAACTGCTCAAGTTCCTAAGATTTCAAAAGCATGCCACACCAGGCTATCATAAGTATTCTGTATAAAGAAGAATCTGATGCTGCTAATTCGTCTTACCAAAGATTCTCAAATTTTTATAGAAACAAAGTTGTGCATAGTTCAACAAAGAATATTGGTACATGGCATGCCCATCCGTCATTCTTGCTTGCCTTTTATGCAAAGTTAGCCCCCAAAAGCATAGAATTCAAGGCCACAGACACAAATGCCATGATCACAGATGCAAACCTAGGGCAAGGGAGCCAAAAAACTACGCAAGCTGCTGGCCTTTGGGAAGTAAACCACCTCAGAATTTAAGGTCCTTGGTCCAGGTACCCTGCACACTCGGATGTTTAGTGACGTGCCTCGTCCTCAGCTTTATCACCTTCCTTCCCAATGCATTCCTAAGCCTGGTTGCATGCAACAATGTCTTCCGGTTTCATGTTCTTTACACACACAACACGCTCATTGTTGTTCTCTATGTAGAAAACACCAAATATTTAGGTCTATGATAGCAAAAATATAACAAGATAAGAAAAAAGAGAATACAGTGTTTGAAATCTGAAGAAGCTTAAAACTCTTTACACAAAAAAAAAAAACTTAAGAGGTAAGTGAATTCATCAGAAGGTCAATATCTTACTGTAGAACGCCTTCAAATGAGGATGCTAGCCACGGATGAGTTCATTGACCACCTCTAGCTGGGGGTTCTTATCTATGAATGACGGCATAAAGGCTCTACATTCCAACATAATCTCAAATTCAGTCCTCAATGGTCTTACAAAGCAAGAAAAACAAGATACATAGAAAAAACATAAATATTTAATATTAAAAGAACCAATTAATGGACATTCAACTTAAACAAGAACTCAAGACAAGCAAATTCAAGGAAATGTTGGAATTCCACCTGTCATAATCCCATTGCCTCCACGTCTGAACTGACATTTGTTATAATTGATTTCTTCAATGGTAACGTTCTCTGGTATATCAAATGGGTATTCTGGCCCACAAATTTACAAAATCTCATATACTATGCGGGCCTGCGGGTCCTGTACCATAGTTAAAAATCCCAAAGGAAGAGCTGATATCCAAATTACAGAGAGACTGTTTCATTCATTCGTCTACAACTACCTGGTTTGAATATGTTCAACACAAAGTCTCTAGAATATGGGGACACTTGCAAAGGACACAGATGTGTCCCCCAAAATGCTTCCTTTTAGGACACAGTGGTCCCAGTGAGAGTCATCATAGCTGTTCCTAATGTTGATTGCATGCAAGTTCAGTTAAAACCTTGGTGCATTAGAAAATTCAATGGAAGAGGGCCAACTCCGTCTTTAGATCTGCATGAATTCTCAGATACCTATTGCATCTCACATATGTCGACCATCTCATATTTCTGTTCATCTAAATTTGCATCCAATAATATTAGTCATCAACAATCATGCCTTTAGGGATCTCATGTGTCCTTTTTCTTCCATGTCATGTGTCCTAAGTCAGGCCTTGATCTTCTATAGAAGAACCAAACCAAGAGCGGAGGAGAAATGCTATGGAAGAGGAATTTGATAACCTTCAGTCAAATCACATGCAAGATATATTTCAACTTTTGAATGGAAATGGTCGGACAACGTGAAGTCAAAAAACCCACTTGGGAGATATAAAGCATAGCATGTAGCTTTTAGGTAAACTATGGGATTGACCATGACAAGAACTTTTCTAGAATTGGCAAAAGGTTCATTGTCCATGTCACTGCAGCCTTTCATCTTTTTGACAACGAGCCTCAGTACCAAATAAAGGATGTTATGATTATCTTCTTGCATGATCATCTTAGAAATAGTCACATAAAGCCACCAATTAGTACAGTAAGCCTAGGATACATAAAACAAACAACAGTTTGGAGGAACAAATTCATAAAGAATCCCTGTATCCATGGTGATGCTTATTCCAAAATGAACTGCTCA